CATTTCTAAAAACTGGAATTTTGTTCCTGGAAATAGAATTTTCTTGTTTATCAAACGGGTTTTTATTTCGGAAATATAAATTTTGTCTTGTTATCAAACGGGTTTTCTAGAAATAGAAATTTTTGTCATTATCAAACGGGTTTTTTCTCGAACTCATCCGCGAACCAGAAATAAAAATCTATTTCTGGTTCGGAACTCATTCCGAATGAATGGTTATCATTCGCTACTTAAATATCCAAGGACGACTGTCATCCCGCTTGTTTGCACAGTGCCTCAATTATCAGCCACTGTATACCCCAGAGGGGGCAAAAAACAAGTGGTCGATGCTTTTCCTCTAAAGCATTAACTTCCGGAATTTATTTAGGGGAGCAGATTATAAACTCGTGCTTCATCATCACCCTTCATCTAGTCTGAGTGGTCGATGTTAGTTTCAGATTTTTTGTCACATACCATTGTAGGAAATGATAGTAATGTAACGTGATAACGACTACAATAAATTACTCCTGTTTGCCTCATGAGACGATAACATAGGATGATCTTCCTTTAATGCGATTGTCTTAGTCTGTTCTCCGCATTTCCATTGGTGTGACTCGTGAGCAGCTGAAGAAACATGGGAGCAGTGACAATCGATTCTTTTGAAGTCTGATGCATGAAAGTGTAAGTTATTTCTCAGCATAAAATTTCATCAACATAGTGCAATTGCATTGAGATAAGATGCAATCAGCGTTGCTTCCCCCCCTCTCCCACAACCCCACACCCCCACCCCCCCCCCCCCCCAAGGATATTTTAGTTTGTTCCATTTTTTAGTGTCTTGAGATTCCTTTTCAGTCGAATCATGGTCCCCAGATGTGCTTTTACACGTAGGAGTTCGAAATCCAAAGGCTGAATGAGTATAAAGAACCAAATGTTTTCAGGGGTATGAACACTTTCACATCTAACAAGACAAGACATAAGTCCCTCGCCTATCTTCAAGGAATGCAGGAGAGGACAATAGTTACTTCTTTGTTGTCGAAAACATTCAGTGTACAGGTGATCTCCCAGTTCTGAGATGCAGTATCATTGTCCTTGTTGTGATATAAACATCAATTGTGGGACAAAGCTTCCACCAAGAACTCATAAAATCTTTGTCCTTTTCTTTTCCCAGATATCTTCTACTAAAATGACTTCCTCTGATAGAAAGTGGACTTAATTTCTCAAACTTTTTAGCTGTCTCAAAGTTTGAAAGTATTTTGATGGAAAGGCTGGTGGATTGGATTGGGCAATTGCCCCTGCTGCCATCTCATCGGCCATAAAGAACATACATGTCAGAATCACAGATTCGGCCCCAGCACCTTTGTTGTCAAAAACATTCAGTGTACAGGTGATGTCCCAGTTCTAAGGAGGCTGCCTTGACCGCTCTCGAAAGTCAGCCACAATAATTAGAATCACTGAGGCAAGTTGTATACTCTGAGGCTGAAATCTGTTTAAAGTGTGTGTGAGTATTCGCACTAAGCAATAACTGACTCTTATTCTCATTCATGTTCAGGATTATGAAGTGAGGAGATTTCCTAGGTAAAATTCTGGCTGAAATTGGTTTGTGCATTCGGTTTAAGGCAGGGTTCATTCTTTATATTTGCAGAGATTGTATGCTACTTTTTGTCACTATATTTATTGCTAAAAAGCTGTCTGAAATCCGATATATGTCATTGTCAAATGGCAACAGTGCAATCGCAATTTCAGGTTGATTGGGTTAAAAAACTAATAGAAGAAGCAGAGGTGGTTGCTGTACCAGGTTGTGGATCCTTCCACTCAAACACGCTAGATGAGGTTGGCGCTGATAATTTCTATCATAACAAATTTATCAGGTTTGCTTTCTGTAAAAGTGATGATACATTAGCTGCTGCTGCACAAAATCTGCGAGAGTTCGTAAATAGAGCAGGTGCCTTTGATAGCAAGTGTAAAGTGCTAAGTTGTCTGAAGCCTGTCAGTTGAGAATTGTAAAATTTATTAATGTCTCTTCTGGAAATCTTCCAAGCATGGGACACATTACAATAGAGCTCTTGACCTTCAGCCTGCTCAAGTTAGTAACTTAGTAGTAATCAGTCACTAATCCTGTTTTAAATTTATATCTAGTATGCCAGAAATCACCTTAAGAAAGGAAATAAATGAATATTTTGTGATATGGGTTTTTGTCTAGCCAGTATCGTTCTTTCATGTCTGAGCTACAAGCCTACAGGTGCACCAGTTGGCATCTTAAACTGAATTAAAAAGTGCAGCAGTTGAACTCTTGAACTAAATTAAACTTCTCTCACTTTTTCGTTGGAAAGTAACTCAACTGTACTAGAAGAGAGAAACCAAATAGCTTGAATTGCAGATTCAGGCCGGGTACAAGTGCAGACAGCAGCAACACAATTAAATGGAATGGCCCGTTTACGGATATTATTGGCAACAGAGTTACTCTAGGACTGATGCAACTGCGGGGTGTATTATGGTGGGAAAACCCAATTAACTTTGCTTAAGGACTTTCTCTAATGATGTACGTAGTCTGGGTATCGGAAAACACTGATAATTGTTCTTTATCTGCCAAAAAACTTACTAATTTACTCTCTTTATTGCAAACTAGCTTCAATTAGACTAGTCTTACAGGTAATAGCAGGGAATGTTTAAGACCTCCTAAACCTGGTTTCTAGTAGGTAGATTACAACAGCTGGTCAAGCAGAAGATACTTGAGGGCATCAGCTCTGAGTCGTGGGTTGGCTTTATCTGTGTTTGGCCATGCTAGACATTCTACACTATTTCTTTAAACCTGCATGACTATTCCTGTCACTGAGAGAGGAAGCTCAGAATCTCGGGCAGTGTAACTAATCATCTGTCTTGATCAATCTGTCTAAATGGATAGATGCTCTTTCAACATGTTGAGGTCATAATTAGCCAATCGCTTAATTTGATTTAGTTATGGTTTAGAGGATGAGCCTCGCAGGCACAAAACGCATAACAAAATAACCCACCATCAATGAACTCGTTACTGCAAACTGTGGATCGAAACCTACTATGACTGAGGCATACTGCTTGATCATGAATGAATTTGGTTCGCAGCTTGTTCAAAAACTCTGATGTCACCTAAATAACGGGGAATCAATCAATCCATCCACATTCAGTTGGGTATGAAATTGTCTGGCTTCTTGACCCCATTACATAATCTTGGAAACACAATATGAGAAACAAAACAGGTGAAAAACTGAGATGTTTCTTATTATGTCAGGGTCATTTTTTCTCCACTCGGTCAATTTAAAACTCTATTTTTTTCACGGAAAATGAATAATTTTAAAAAAAAATTTCCCAAAAATTAATTGCTTGAAATAATTAATTAATGAATAATATTTTTATTATCAACAACAATTTATGTCCGAACATTTTCGTGGATGATGAAAATATTTTTCGTTCATTCACTTTTGTGAGCAATACAAGCGATCATTTTAAGAGGATATTTTTCAAATTGATCATTTTTTGCAAAACAAACGGAGCTGAAAGAGAAAACGACGTTCGAATCACCGGTTACCACAAAAGAAAAGAGAAAGGATTCTCTGGATTCGAGATTGAATATGGAGAGAGAGAGAGAGAGAGAGAGAGAGAGAGAGAGAGCCATCTGTTTCCAAGAGTGAACACGTTGACGTGAAGGTCGCTGCTTTCTATGATTCCACTTGCCCACTGGGTTCATACCGGGTCATATATATCGGAAAATTCAAGAAAGTTCATGTTGAAGTGCAGGTAGTGGTCCGTACAGGTTGATATTTTCTCCTTCATCCGCTATTCCAATCATGAATCTAATAAGTCTTCTTTTGTTTTTTTCACATCGAGCGGAGTCAACCTCAATTAAAATATTGTTCGTGCATATGAATAAAAAGAAGTTTTCATCTCATTTTGGATGGAAACTAACAAATTGTGAAAAATATATATCTGCTATACGATTAATGGTCAAGACAATAAAAAAAAAAATCAAGGCGAAAGAAGCAATACTGTATCAATGAGAGAATATTCAAGGGATTCTTATCTACTTTGATTATGTCATGACATTTACAAATCTCCCTATGACAGTTTCAGTTGTTAAGTCTTTTCTCGTGTTCGTGGTTATACCTTGACATTTTCATACGCATCGGCCCTTATTTTCTCCCTAAAATTTCCCATTCTAGATTCAACAATATCTTCTCTCCTTTCACATCTAATAGCAAATGAAGTAGATGTTGATATGCCACCACTTGGGTGGATGAATCCGTCAATTCGAGACGTCCATGTTGACCTTAGAAAATGGAATTGGAAAGACCCCTTATCTTTCCCTTTGCCTTCCCCGCCACACCACCACCAAACACCACCCCACCCACCCCCCCAGCCAAATATCAGCAAATGCCACTATCAAACCATGCAAGGTCAACAAGTCTGATTATTATGCATTGAATGTCGTACAATGCGTTTTGACAAAACGAAACAGTTTGCTATCATCTTAAAGGAGGAGAATTTGAACACCACACATGATATTAGCTTCCAAATTCGAATGTACAATCAGCAACTAAATTGACTTTATCAGCGTTTCCAAATGGTGGTCCTGAAATATTTAATGAGGATGTACTGTGTAATTCCACAACCTTTCGTGCGTCGAGAAGAAGTTCTAATTTGGGTGCTCTTGATTAGAAAGATATGCAGCTATTCAATGAAGAAATTTTGACCGGCAAAAAAGAACTACTATTCGTTTCTTTGGTGGTAACAAAAATTTCACTCAATGAAGTGTCTCAAAAGTGTAAGCATGAGACATTTAACCAGATAGCGTTTAGCCAATTTCTCATCCACGGTCATCAACGAGAATTTTCAAAGGCTGATTTCAAAAATTGTACACAGCTCGAGAATTAATTGAAAGTATAGCAAAGAAGGTGGGGGGGGGGGGGGGGGGTGGTCATTTCTGATCTTTATCTCAGACGCCACTGTCATTGGCTTTCTCATCAACTATATCTACACATATATATGTACGCATATCTTCGAGAGTGGTTGGTCAGACTTGACATGGTGGCTCTCCAGCTACAAGGATCTCTCTCTCTCTCTCTCTGGTTGAACTATGGCAAATTCGAGGGTGATCTTTGCCTTGCACGTAGCAGCGTGCATACTACTACTTGCAGATGTCGCTTGTGCTCAGAACCAGACTCAAGCTACGACTGACCCTTCTGAAGGTACGAACGAACAAACCCTCTTCCTCTCTCTGCGTGTTCGTGTGTGTTTAATGAGTTTCTTGTTCTTAAGAGTGCTGATGATCGTCAGCATCCTTCCTGATCATGAAAATCATCTTCTTCTTAGGGTGTGTTTGTTTGAGGGAAATATATTTTCGGAATCCGTTTTATGGACTTTCACCCTTTTAATTCGCGGAAAATTATTAGTCAACCAAAAACACTTTTGGATCAAGGAAAATTTTCATGTATAAAATTAGGAAAGTGAATTCCCTAATCTAAGAAGATGAAAACATTTTTCGAAATTACTTATCTTGATTTTGTTAATATTTTATTTTTTCTTGTCTTGTCTTGTCTTTTCTTCTTCTTTTTTTTTTCTTTTCTCTTCCTTTTTCCTTCTTTCTCCCTCCGCTGGTCGCCGGCCTTGGCGATGGCCGGTGACAGGCCACGGGTAGGGCCGACAACTCACCAACCCTATACGAGCCCCGACCTCGCGCCGGCGAGCCTCTACTAGCTAGCCTCGCCAGCACAAGGTCAAGACTGGCCGGGATCTAGCGAGTTAAAGCTCGCCGACCTCGTTCTGACGAGCCTCGACTTTGCGGTGAGGCCTTGCTGGCCTTGTGCGAGCTCAAGGCTCGCCAGATCCTTACGAGGCCTTGCTAGCCTTGCGCGAGCTCAAGGCTCGTCAGATCCCGGCAAGCGAGGGCTCGCTCGAGGCCGGTGAGCTCGAGCTCGGCTGCTCGGCCGATCCCGGTGAGCTTGAGCTTGCCTGAGGCTGTCGCCGGGCGAGCATCGGGCTCACCTGTGGCCGTCGCCGCTTGGTCACAGCAGAGGTAAGAGGAAAAAGAAAAGGAAACAAAAGAAAAAGAAAAGAGAAAAAATAAAAATAATTAAATATTCTAGTTTTTTAAAAAAGAAAAGAAATAATTAAAAAATCGAATTTTTTTAAAAAAATATTAAAATACTTGAATTTTTTTTTTGTCTGAGATAAAATCACGATATTGAAATCATTTTCCAAATGATATGCAAACACCAGAAAACGTTTTCGATTGTATATCACCAAACGTAGAAAAACTAACCGTATTCCTGAAAAATACTTTCTCAAAAATCACTTTCCTTATCATTGGGTTTTTTCCGAAATAAACGCATCCTTAAAGTATGCTTAAGATCGTGACAAACAATGATTAGGTGAGGGCACTGTTATCCTTCCGTGAAGGACGGTCGACTGGGTAACCAGTTTACCACGTTTACCACGTTTACTTGAAAAAATGAGATTAAATACTTAAATATAGCTAATGAACGGTAAGAATAATTATTGATACATAAAACTTTTTAAAATTATTAGAAGGATCTATTAAATTTCAAAAATAGGAAAAAAAAAAAGCTCAAGAAACCCCGATTCTCATGTTCTTCATTGTGCTGGCATAACAATAGTCACGCTTGTGTAACTACAATGTTATTTCAATTTTATTATGATACTGATTAGGCGACGCATTTCAAATTGCAAAAGATGGACCATCGAAAGAGCAAAAGAGTTGCGGTTGCTTGAGCAAGCTACGAGACATTGAACTGAATTTTTTTGTTTATTTACAAATCCACAACATGATACTATTAAGCAATAAGATATTCATGAGATATCATTTTTAAATGGTGGGACATGGCCCTAAAAAAAGAAGGGAAAAGATACCAAGTGATATTCATTAACTTGTGCATCTACAAACTCTCTTTTATTCTGTTTTACGTAATAACTAGTATTAATTATCATTTTATTTTCGAGAAAAATACTTAATCATCCATTGACTTCTTAATCATATGGAATGGTATGGGGTCACGTATTATGTAGTTTATGCGTATGCTCATTCACAAATTTTCTTTATTTTATGCAATTCGATTAGGTCCGTGTGCATCTTCTTCTACAAGATTCGTTTCGGTTGGTAATAATTACATCTAGCAATATTACGGGAAAATTACCAAAAAAATCCTAAAACTATTACACTTAAGCCAATTCAGTCTTAATTTTTTAATTTGATTAATTTAATCATAAACATTTTGACGATTTACTAATGTAGTCCATTTGGCAAATTTTGATCGGAAATTAATTACATGCACATCGACTGTCCTACATGACATGGCTGATGCCGATGTGAAAATTTTTTGAAAATTTTGAAAATTTTAATTTTTTATATCTTTCCTTTTCTTTTTCTTTAATTGTTAAGGGCCGACAGGGGGCCACCGACCACCGACCAAGGATCGGCGACCCCCGCCGACCAATGGGCAAGGGCCTGCGAGCGCTCACTGACCACTGGGCAAGGGCTGTGAGTCCTCGCCAACCGCAACAAGAGTCGCGACCCTTGCCCAGTGTCTAGCGAAGGCTCGCTGCCCTTGCACGCGGTCGATGAGGACCATGAACCCTCACCCAGTGGCCGCTGGCCTTAAATAAAAAAAAGAACGAAAAAATTAAAAAGTTGTTTACATCAACGCCGGCCGCGCCACATAGAATGACCGGCATCCACATCATCAATTTCTTACCAAAATTGGCTAGACGGACTATATTAGCAAATCATCAAAATGTTTAGTTTTGAATTGGCATGAGTGCAATAAGATTATGACTTTTTTGGTAATTTTCCCACAATATTACACTTTTCATGTTTTGATCATTTCGCTATTTCATATAATGTTATGTATATTGTAGTTTTGCCATTGCTGTTATGCATTGTTGATTTCGCCAATTGCTTGAATTAAGAACCAGGAACCATTTACATGCACGATGATGTCAATTAATCTTGAAATACAACATTGAGGTGTTTTTTTTTCTTTTTTAATTTAATAGATCCTTTTAATAACATTAATAAATTTTATCAAGTAATAGTTTTTTCATACCGATGATTAACCATATTTGGGTATTTAATAAATATATATACAGACACATTCATTAATATAGGTTAATGTCACAAAATATCACAAACTATACCACATAAATACCCCAATATTTTTTTATTAAAAAAACTCCGAACTTGTACCGATGTGATAAATATACCCTAGATGAAGCCGTAATAGAAAGTACGTATGTCATATATGTATAAATTTGAGCTTTTCCAGACAAAAAAAATGTTGGGTTATACTTGCCCTTAATAATTGGATAACTCCACTTTGACGATTTGCTTTTTGCCCGCAAATCCCACCGGTCAGAATTTTCAAGTAAAAACACATTTTGCTTTGCACCACGGGTGTCTCCCCCATCCCCCACCCCAAAAAAAAAAAAAAAACTTCTTCCATGTCCAGACAGAAATTCCTCTTTAAAACATCCTAATGATCTTTTTTCCTAGCCTTTCGCCAACTTATGTTATGGGACTGCAAGGACGTCAGTGGTTCCTCTTTCACCTCCTTATGTTGTTTCAGTCCATAGGGAACTCACTTTTATTTGATTCTAGTTGTATAATCTTTCTTCATAAAATATTGACTATCAAAAAAGCAAAACTTATTCCCTAAAAACCATATGTCTGGAAAATGTAAAGACACTACTCCACATGAGCGGCTGTCCTCGTTTACACAGTTCAACTGGATGGACAGCATGTGAATACCTGTATTATTAATTGCACTCAATTGTCTAAATCACTCTCCATTTACTTAAGGTAAGAACAGTGCACTGATGCATTTAATTTGAGCATGAAGCTAAACAAGCGTGAGTCGATGATGGTTATGTGAATGCAGTGGCGATTCTGAACTCGATATGGTCAACATGGGGACTCACTTCTCAGACGTGGAACATAAGTGGAGAGCCATGCCGCGGAGCCGCGATTGACGACTCTGTTGTCATCGACGATACGAGTTACAACCCTTTCATCAAATGCGACTGCTCCTTCAACAATTCCGCCACTTGCCACATTACCCAGCTGTACGTATCGACAGTATCACGCTCACCATGTGTGTGTCTCATCTCATGTCCGGGTGGTTTTTCTTTTGGTGGCAGCAAGGTTTATGCACTGAGCGTCGATGGTCCTATCCCTGATGAGTTATGGAACTTGACTTACCTCTCCAATCTGTATGTATTGGTCCCATTCCACTTTTCCAGTAGCTTCTCATTTCCCTGGAGTTTTCATGGTGTGCCACGTGTCATGCCTTAAAATTAAGCAACACTCAGTTCGAGCCTGTCTACGAAACACTCACATGCTCTCATTTGCTGAAGCCCCATATTGATTTTATACACCAAGGTTTCGAGATCTTACGGTGTTTTCCGTTGTTCTGATAGTATCATGTACTTTATCCAGGAACTTGGGCCAAAATCTCTTGACTGGTTCCTTATCTCCATCCATCGGCAACCTAACTGGCATGCAGTATCTGTGAGCACAACTCAATTCTAGTCTCAAAATTAATACGAGTTCTCTGCTCCTTTTTTAGCATTTTTCTTTCTTTCCGGATGCTTACTCTGCTGATTTACTTCAGGAGTGTGGGCATCAACGCATTGTCAGGAGAGCTTCCACCGCAACTTGGGTTACTTACAGAGCTATTGTCATTGTAAGTAAAAGTTCCAGAACAGGATTTATAATGTCAAGCAGAAGGATTCAACTGAATTAGGTCCACTGGATATTCAGACTAATTTTCAACGAAAATTGGCTTGCAAAAAGATATAAAAGAAAGAGTGGATCTGACAACTAGTTTAATGTTGTAGGTCCTTTAGCACCAATAACTTCAGTGGCTCTCTGCCATCTGAGCTTGGAAATCTTTCCAAATTGCAGCAACTGTAAGTCCTACCTGCTTATCATTCCTAGACATGGATTTTCCTTTTAAAATATTTGCAGGTATTGGAGTTTGGCAGAGGCCAGTTTTGTTGAAATAGGTGGCAAACGGACTAAGTAACTGTTTTCATGCATCCTTTCAAATTGATTAGTTTCTTTTAACCTTTATGACTTGCGGTAGCATTTTGTTGTTACTATCATTCTGCCCATCATCACATAGCCTAACCCTCTCATATTTCACATTCACTGTCATCCTCTTGTTGACATTTCAACTACTAGAGACTCCCGCAATGTTTGGCTGTGTACATTCTGGATGTTGCGTAAATGTTCCGTGACACCCTCTTGGCATTACTTCTGCTTTCAACTATTCTTATTTTTTTTTTGGTCGCTCTGCTTCAACTATTCAAAAGGACAAACTATTGAGTTGTTTGAGTTGCGTTAAATTAATAAAATGCCTTTGGGCTGACAAAAATTACTTAATCATGCAGTTACATTGATAGTTCCGGAGTCAGTGGTGAGATTCCGTCAACATTTTCCAAGCTTAAAAATCTTCACACAGTGTAAGAGCTTCGTTCCTCCTTTGATCCTCTGAAAAAAAACTATTAGCAGGAAAAAATTTATGACATAATTTCTCAGAAGAAATACTTTTTCCTGTTGCAGGTGGGCATCGGATAACAACCTCATTGGTAGTATACCAGAATTCATAGGAGATTGGTCGCAGCTTACCCAGCTGTAAGGCGACATATATGTTTGTTTTCATCTAACAATGCCTATGACTATGACCGTCTACCTTTCACAACAATTTGTCGGCTCTGGAAATTGAAATTCGACAAATTATGTAGCATTCATTCTGTATTATGTTATCATTGAAGTGATCAATTTGTCCAATTTTTTCTTAATTTATTTGTTTATAGGTTACTTCAAGGAAATTCTTTCGAAGGTTCGATTCCTTCAACATTTTCCAATTTATCCGCACTGACAGACTTGTGAGTGGAGCCATGTACTTTCTGTCTTAATGCTTGTAAAAACTAACACAGCCTTGAACAAACTGACAACGAGTTGAGTACATAATGCAGGAGAATAAGTGATGTATCTAATGTGAGCTCTTCACTGGAATTCATCAGGAATATGAAGAATCTGTCTATTTTGTAAGACATTGTGATTCTGGAGCATGTAGCAGACTTTCTTTTCCTTTCTTTTTCTCTTTTGGCCCTTATGCGAAATGGGCTTATCCAATTGTTTTCAGGGTACTGAGGAATAACAATATCTCGGATTCGCTCCCATCAGATTTTTCGGGATACCACAGCTTATCTCAGCTGTAAGTCGTTGTTCTTGGTTAGTAATTGATTGAAACTATTCCGAAGTGTTTCAGTGACTCAGAAGCAAAATTTGAAGGGGATGAATATATGACCCTTCATTAATGGTTTATAATAGTAGTTACTAAATGAATTGTACTTACTTGATATTATCTGGTTGGTCGTATTTTGGTTAAAGACCATCTTGTTCTCTAATTTATTGTACACTACTTCAAAGGAGCATTTGCCTCGACGATTCTTCTCTAGACTTCATTTGACAAGATGTTATATTCCATGGGTATTGTGATGTTTTTCACATGTGACCAGCTCGATCTTCCCGAAGGCATTATTTTTTATTCAAACATGTATATGTTATTTACTCAATTTATTCATATAGTAACTTTGTTGCATCTAAATTGGACCAGGGACTTAAGCTTCAACAAGTTAACAGGACAGATTCCAGACTCTCTTTTCAATTTGAGCTCACTCACTTACCTGTAATGTACCTCTTCTGGATAATCATGTGTGTTCCTTCCGATATGTTCTCTTTGTTAATGCTTCGTAAATCTCTTTGCTTCATTTCTCAGGTTTCTCGGAAATAATAGTTTGAATGGCACACTTCCTGGACAGAAAAGTGCATCCCTTCTTAACATGTAAGAACACCTGAAAGATCCATGATAACTATAATGATGCTCACAACTGCCACTGATCAATTGAGAAGAACATGAAATTATGTACAAGTTTTTAGGGGCACTTGTGGAGTTTGAATGCAACGAGGATGTATAGTCAAAATATTCCATGTTCTGTCATAGGTTGAAGGTCAAAACGAGGATATAGCTACTTGAATAGATTTTTCTCCTTTTCCCCTTTATAGCGAACTCGGTACTAAATATAGTTTATTTCAAAGACATCTATTTTGTGCCTGGGAACATGGAGTCAACCTTTTGTTGTTTGACATATCACAGCATGCTATTCAATACTGACAGACACCACCCTGTTGGTTAACTAAATGACATCTCCCCTGTGCCATTTTTGCAGAGATGTGTCATACAATAACTTGATGGGAAGCTTTCCTTCGTGGGTCAGCAATGATTTACAACTGTATGTATTTCTCTCATTCGAAAAATGATATTCATACTTTTAGTTAGATATCTTAAGTGGGGACTCTTCTTTTGCACTTTATCAATCATTTATTGCTCTTGAGGGATGCTATACAGTACTTGAAGTCATTTTCTAGCTACAGAATGAGCTGTAGGCGTTCCAATCTTGTGGGGAGACTTACGATCACATCTTTTTTCATGATGCATTTTGCAGTAATCTGGTTGGCAACAACTTTACATTGGACAACTCTAACAGTAGGTAATTGCCCTGGCGATTTTTGCTTATAATGCTTGAGTGATCATAGACAATCAATTCAATCGAAAATGGTTAGCTGATGTGTCCTCAGATTTGGCTTGAATGCCTACCTCACTTTACAAGGATAATCACCGATCCCACCACCCCGCTGGGCATTCTGGATGTTTCTATATCATATTTGTCTTTTGTCATATTAATTCCAGTAATTGATATCATAGATGCACGCTGAATTTACGTTAAAACTCACTTTCACATTTGGTTGCTAAATCTACTGCTTGGAACGAATATAAATCCCTTAAACACTGCCTACAAAAGAAGGGAAAATTTCATCTATGTCCACTTTGGGTACCAAATTGAGAAAAAGGCCCACTTTGGGTACCAAAATAAAATTTTCCCTACAAAAGAACTGTCATAGGTAAAACTTTTATATGATTGTCTTGATTCATATGCCATTGTGGATGTCAGTAATTTGAATAAATAATGATACTACTGTTTCACCATCTTTTAATCCTCGTAATTGATGCCGTGGATAATCAGCAATTCTGCAAAACCCAGTATTTGTATTCACTAAAAAAGGCATTCAGTTAGAGCTATGACTTGGAGATGCTATCACCGCTTCAATGATTAAAGAACTTTTTGCATTTAATTAGCGATTGCATCATCCATGAAGGAATTTTGAATGTTTCAGTGAAAGTCATAAATAAAAAAGGAATTTTCCTTGCTATAGAAGTATCTGCTTTTGATTTACACATAAGTTCATACTGCCGTAATTGCTATAGAAGTATCTGCTTTTGATTTACACATAAGTTCATACTGCCGTACTGGTTAACTGAGTAAAATTTTCTCCTTTTATCTTAGCCTTCTTCCTTCAAGATTAAACTGTCTTCAACGGAATTTTCCTTGCAATACGGGGAAAGGAATCTGTAAGTCCATGTAACCTTTGCCCCTTAATACGCTTTCCTTTAGTTGAATGCCGCAACAAGAGGAGGACAGGAGATCGTGTTTACAGTTACCTTTCATATTCTGCTTGCTTGCATCCTGATACGTGAAGTGAATCGTAACTTTAATGTAGTAGAAGACAGAATGGTCAAGCTATTTACATCCTGTAAGTTAGATTAGGGGTAGTCCAGTGGAAGAGAGGAAAAATAAAGGTTCAAGTTTTTCTTAGAAAAGGGGACAGCGATGTAGTTTTAAAGTCCCAGATTCGGTTCTTGCAAGCCCCCTAGCGGGCTTAGTTGATCTATGACTTATGTTTCATCTTTTGTTTCTTTTTTGTCTGTCTCGAGAAGTATAATGATAGATTCCAATTCTTTCGTTTTCTATTGATTCTTTTCAATTGAGATGTGGATCCATCGATCCATGTGGCTAAATAATGAATCCGATTTTCATTTCATCTGGGAAAAGCCATCTTTTTCTCAACAATTGCTTTGTCATTTGATCCAATAGCCTGCCGGTTTTGCAAAAACCCCCATATGACGCTGAACATGCAAGGTTGTTTAATCCATTAAAAACATGCCATTTAGAATTTTAATCTCACCATTTACGAAGGGCCTATGTAATTCAGTCTCTGGTCCAGGGTATAGAAGGCAGATTTGTGGCAGGCCGTCCTAATGTTCAATACTTGCCTCTCTAAGTTCCCCCTTTATCTGTGATATTGATTTCCCTAGAAAGGACATTACTTTATTTTCATCAGGACTTTGTGGGTCTCTTCACTAGAGTGTGAGAGAACTAATTTATTATTACATTTACAACTGCATACTAAGATGCCATGCGACAGACTGTTGGAGGTAAGTTTTGAAGATAAGCATGTGCCATTCATATATTCTAAGCTAAATCGGGCTGACTTTAACAGTATAGAATTTACAAAGTGCATGTGCTGTGGCAGATAATTCTTGTCCATTATGTAACGGAAATACCTTTCATAAACTCATCATGATCTGCTCTTTTATGTTTGCCATGCAGACTACAATTTTTCAGTAAAATGCGGTGGCCCTCAGATTTCTTCGTCCAGTAATATCGTGTATGAGCAAGATAATAACACTCTTGGTCCTGCTACCTACTATGTGACCGACACAGAGAGGTGGGCAGTGAGCAACGTTGGTTATTTCACGGGAAGCAGCAACCCCGCCTATAAAGCTTCCACGCTTTCCCAGTTCTCCGGCAATTTAGACACAGAGCTGTTCCAGACTGCACGGCTCTCTGCTTCATCTCTACGATACTATGGATTAGGTCTGGAGAATGGAAACTACAGTGTCACCCTCCAGTTCGCTGAAATACAAATCGAGAATACTGAATGGAAACGTCTTGGGAGGCGTCTTTTTAATATATACATACAGGTAGGGCCTTGTTTTACCAGGCTTCTTGTTTTACTAAGAAAGTTCACGATCAATTACCTAGGCCGTTTATGCTTCTTTCAGGGAAACCTTGTTGCAAAGGATTTCAACATACGGGAAGAGGCAGGTGGTGCCTCTTTTTCAGCTGTCCCAAAAATGTATCAGGCTCAGGTAACAGCAAACTATCTCGAGATACACTTCTTTTGGGCTGGAAAAGGGACTTGCTGTGTACCAAATCAAGCCACATATGGACCTTTGATTTCAGCCATTAGTGCTGTCCCAGGTACTGTGATAAAAACTTGCTCTTATTCCCAGCACCACTATTTAAAAAATTACTTAATTGGCAGACTTTGTGCAGACTTCATACCCTCTGTCAGTAACAATCCCCCAACCCGTAAAAAGGATCGTACCGGCCTGATAGTTGGAGTTGCCACTGGAGTTGGAGTGGTCGGCATGGTGGCTGTTCTCCTGGTGTTCTATGTTGTTCGGAGAAGGAAAATGGCACGCATGATTGAAGATCAAGGTAAACCACACAATCAGATGCTTCCAATAGCTTCCTCATGATAATTTCCTATCTGTAATCATGCGTGCTAATTATATTTTTGCATAAAAAATGATCACCATGTTCTGCGGAGGTAAACGGAATGAAAAATCTCCATATCGAAATACCACTGTTCTGAAGAGATTTTGAGCTCATTGTCCACTGGTGGTAGGAAGTGTAATTTCAAGGTTTTCTAGTTGCAGCTAAATTTCAAGAATGCATTTTGATTTTGCTGGCTGACTAATTTAAGTGGCTAATATATTTCTGAAAAGTCAAAAACTATATCATGAAGGATTTGCGAAATATTCTAAGAGCGGGAATCCTTTCTGCATTGTTGTGTCTTACAGAGTTCCTTGGCTTGGATGCTAGACCTTACACTTTCAGCTACGCGGAACTAAAGGCTGCTACGGATGACTTCAATCCCAATAACAAACTTGGGGAGGGAGGATTCGGCCCTGTTTTTAAGGTTTGTTGTAATTCGTTGGATAACACAAGAGTAGATAAAGATGCCGTGATGTCACAATTAAATGTTGGCAGAATTGAGGTGCTCGACTCCTTGCAAAAGCTGATCTTATCACTATTGCTTCTTCAACTATAGCTGACCTGATCTTAGCTTGTCACAAGAACTAAGTCGATGGTTGATCTTTCTGAAAGTGTTTCTAGGAGAAAGAACGGAAAAAGAGAAGAGAAACTCATTACTAAAGGAACCACGATTATGGTTTCCGTACCTTGAGCCAAAAAAGAAAGAGACAATGGTTTTCGTTTGCTGGTTGACCTGACTTCCGATTTTTTCTCTGCCTTGAAAAGAAAAACCCTTCTTCGCTTATTTCTTTTTCAATCTTTAGGCAATCATCCTTTGGCTTTGGAGGATGACTGTAATAGATCCTAAATTACTTCCGGGAAAGAAAGAAATCCAATGAACACCATCCAAATATCCATGGATAATATAACTAAATGTTGATAACGTAAGATTTCAAGTAACTAATGAATGGACATTTTCTTGGTTATCTTTGCCAGGTCCAGATGGAGTAACATAAATTAGGTTGACCGTCCTTCATTTATCATCTATATGCTAATACAGTGTAGTTCTAGAAGATGGATTTTTTTGGCATTTCTTGATAGTCAGACTTAAGTGGAGCTCCTGGATAGTCTAGGAACCGGAGTCTACATTATCATGCCGATCGCATTATTGATCTCAAAATGACTTCCGCGTTTCTTTCTATTGAAGTACTAACCATATCAGTGACAACAGGGAACACTCGATGATGGGAGAGTGATTGCTGTAAAGCAACTATCTGTATCATCCCACCAAGGAAAGAATCAATTCGTGACAGAGATTGCCACTATATCTGCAGTGCAACACCGCAACCTTGTTAAACTGTATGGATGCTGCATCGATGCAGAGAATCGGCTTCTTGTTTATGAGTATCTAGAAAACAAGAGTCTTGATCAGGCAATATTTGGTAGGTGACAGAATTTTCACCTCATTTATGTATTTTGTCATGTAAAAAGTGAGGCTTGGACTTATGATATAGTGCTTCCACTGTGCAGGACAAAGAAGCTTGAGTCTTGATTGGGCAACACGGTATGATATCTGTCTGGGTACTGCAAGGGGTCTAGCTTATCTTCATGAGGAGTCGAGGCTGAGAATCGTGCACAGGGATGTGAAGGCCAGCAACATTCTGCTTGACTCTGATCTCACACCTAAAATATCAGACTTTGGTTTGGCTAAACTTTATGATGATAAGAAGACCCATATAAGCACCCGTGTGGCGGGAACCATGTAAGCTCCATGTTCTTCTGTCACATGCACGCAGAACCATATGCATTAAGTACGTTGACGCATACAGTTGCTGAGAATCTAATTCTGCTTTCCCATTGCTGTTGTAGTGGATATCTTGCTCCCGAGTATGCAATGCGTGGCCACCTTACGGAGAAGGCAGATGTGTTTGCGTTTGGTGTAGTGGCTCTAGAGGTTGTCAGCGGAAGGTCAAATTCAGACCCTAGCTTGGAAGAAGAAAAAATATATCTCCTTGAATGGGTACGCGCTTGAATATTGTGCCACTTGTTCAGTTGTTTTATGGCCACTTAAGAAGGAAACATCATATCTTCCCTTTTAATTCTTTCTATGAGGTTGCCTGAATACATCTTTGTCACTTATTTCCTGCTTCTCAGGCTTGGAACCTGCATGAAACCAACCGTATTGTTGAGCTGGTTGATTCTAGATTATCAGAGTTCAATGAAGAAGAGGCAAAACGCATGGTTGCAATAGCACTCTTGTGCACTCAAACATCGCCATCGCTGAGACCACCAATGTCCCGTGTGGTGGCAATGCTCTCTGGAGATATGGAAGTGCCGACCGTCTCCACGAGGCCAGGCTACTTGGCTGATTGGAGATATAGTGATACCACTAGCTCCTTGACTGAGACTGCTGATAAGAGCACAGACAAGAGCCCTTTCAACTCCCCGTTCACCGCAAGCACTGTTGGAGCTGCAAATCTGTCACCGGAAATTGCTACAACACCCATGCTTGATGAGACAATCGGAGAAGGCAGATGAACATGGTTTACCTGGACGGATCTCCGCTACATCCATGTCAGGCTTCATCAGTTGATTACGCTTAGATTTTGTATTGTAGTTATTTACTAGAACATACATATGAATTTCCTATAAAAGATGATTCTCCCTATGAATGATTTTGCTATTATGTAAAAAGTTGGGAGAAAATACGTAAAAAATTCTAAACCCATTGCATTTGTACCAATTCAATCCTAAACGTTTCGATTGGACCATCTTAATCTTAAAATTGTACCAATTGTTTCCATCCGGCCAATTTTGGTAGGAAATTATTGACGTAGACGCTAGGCGTCCTATGTGGCATGACCGACGCTGACGTGGACAAACTTCACAATTTTTTTAAATTTTTTCTGATTTTTTAATATTTTTCTTTTTTTTTTCATTGTGGCCGGCAAGGGTTGCCACAACGACCCTAGCTGGCCACAATGAAAAACAAGAAAATAAAGAGAAAAAAGAAAAGAAATCTAATAAAAATAATCAGAAAAAATATTTAAAAATTATAAAATTTGTCTACCTCAGTATTAGTCGTGCCACGTAGGACGGCTAGCATCTAGGTTAGTTATTTCTAGCTAAAATTTGCCAAATGGACTTAATTTACACAAATGCTGTCACGCCCCGTACCCCACGAAGCGCGAGCATCCCACCTCCGGTCGATTATAGTGCGACGTCCCAGGAAACGTCGCCGACCCAACGCCCAACAGAGAACAAGCACAAGCGGAAGAAATAAACAAACCCTGACAATAATAATACGAAACAATGGATAGCACGACAACAATCAATCGCTGCTAAAACTATGTACACTTTATATTACTATAGAAAGCCTTTTTATAATATTCGTTTATACATCAACGGCAGTCAACACTCATAATAGCAGCCTCTAGGTCAAAAGGGTCAGTGGCTAAGGGTACTGGACGGGACTAAGACGAGCTTCAGTCAAAAAGGTGTAACCCGTTTTACTTAGGAGTATTGCCAACCTAGGGACTGATGCCGAAGCGCGATAGAAATTAGGCTAAACAGAAGAATTGAAACGATAACGAGGAACAAACTGTTCTCTCAATCGATTAACAATCGATAAGTTTTCAAAACATCCAAACACTACTGCCTCTCAAAACCCTAAAAACGAGTTTATAAAGGGTGTTAACCCTAATGACAAAAAAAAACGCAAAAAATACAAAAATACCCTTAATTCGAAAATTACTAAAATAATTAAAAAAAAACTATTTAAACGACCCCGAATCGCGAAAATCCATCGTTAGTCATAGCCAAAGGCTATGGGTATTGATCAGCACGCCGTTTCGCTTCAGCCGACCAAATTTGAGCTCAATCCAACATCGTTGACTTCAAGCCCGCCGGTTCTTCCAATCGCATAACGGGTCCGCCGGTCCCCTAAGTGCATCATCCTCCCCTGCTAGAGAAAGATTCGTCCTCGAATCCGCTTCGTCTTCATTGTCATCAATCTCTTCGGGTCTTCTTCATCTTCAGTGTAGTAAGGTGACAAATCGCTACATTAAAAGTTTCGAAACATTGTGCTCACCCGCAACCCCGGTGGCAACTCTTCCACGACATCGCAAACTCCTCAAGCAAGGGCGGAACTTGGGTAGGAATTTCGAGACTGTCAGAATTCCGTTCCATCACCACAATGGCAAAAAGCTCAGGCGCATTCACTGCCTCTTCTTGAAATTTTGATTTGGAAAGCAGATTACGTTTCCCTTCTTTTCTCAAATCTGAAGGACCTAGGGTAATGGTTCGGCCATCCTTCTTGAAGGTATAAGTATTTCTGAAACTATCATGCTGTGTCTTTCTGTCAAACTGCCACGGCCTCCCCAACAAAATATGGCAAGCATCCATTGGGACTACATCACACCACACCTCATCGATGTAATTTTTCCCAATCGAAAATTGCACAAGACACCTTTTGCTCACCTTCACCTCGTTCCCCTTTCTAAGCCACGACAGCTTGTATGGTTGAGGATGATCTTCTGTTTTTAACCCCAACTTTTCCACCATAGTCGTGGATACCACATTCTCGCAACTCCCACCATCTATTATCATGCTGCATACTTTTCCTCTACTAGTGCACTTAGTATGAAAAATATTATGTCTAAGCCACGATTCATCATCCGCTACAGCAACATTTAATATTCTTCACCTTCATCAAAGACTGGATTATCAACAAGCGTCACAATCTGTCGGTTTGGACAATCAGCAACAAAATGCCCGAATCCCTGACACTTGAAACACCGCTTGGCTGCAGTTCCTCCCTTGCTAGTTCCAAAGACTACTCGCCCCTCCTTGGATGCGTGTTTAGAACTCGTATTCTTAACTCGCGATCGGTGTCGAATTTGTCATGCAGATGTTCCCACTTTTTCTCGGGATTCTTTGCCTGACCAACGATTCTGAAATTTGGAATTCACGTTCTTCCTTTTACACTGACCTTCCACCTTCAAGGCCAACCTGCACACATCCTCATAGGTCCAATATTGCTGGAATTGGACAACATCAGAAATTTCATACCGTAAGCCTGCCAAATATCGAGCAATTGTTTGCTCGTCTTTCTCAGCCACATCACAACGCATCCGCAAACGATCAAACTCCTCGGTATACTGCTCGACCGTTAAATCTCGCTACTTAATATTGTGATACTCAATAAATGCCTCCTGCCTATAATGAGTAGGTAAAAATTTCTTTTGCAATAATTTCTTCATCTTATCCCAGCGGTTTACTTTTGATTTCCCCTCTCTAGAACGCTGCCTTTTCACATGCTCCCACCATATCGAGGCATGTTTTCGTAGCCTAATAGCCACTAATTTAACTTTCTGCTCTTCGGTCAGATCCTTAATATCAAAGATCATCTCTACTGTATGTAACCAATCAATAAACTCATCAGGATGAGCCTTACCATTAAACTCGGGAATCTCGATCTTCATCCCGAAAATTTGCAAAGAGCGGCGATTTCCGTGTCGTACTCTCGATTCCGCCCCGGTTCGAACCCCGAAAGGGTTTACGTCCTCCTCTTCATCATCGGATGGATCTTCAGATTCTGCTTCTTCTTCGGATAGAACGCCCAACCTCGCCTCCGCAAGTTGTCGCTCCAAATCCTGGATTCGTCTTCTCTGTTCTTCAATTTCTACGTCTCGCAGATCTCTTAGACGCGGTTGGTCGTCCGCTTCAAGAATGCCTCCACGCCCGGCCACCACGAGCCCGCGTCCACGACCGCGATTCTGTTCGACCATTGATTCAAGCAACCCGTGCTCGATACCAATTGATGCCGAAGCGCGATAGAAATTAGGCTAAACAGAAGAATCGAAACGATAACGAGGAACAAACTGTTCTCTCAATCGATTAACAATCGATAAGTTTTCAAAACATCCAAAACTACTGCCTCTCAAAACCCTAAAAACGAGTTTATAAAGGGTGTTAACCCTAATGACAAAAAAAAACGCAAAAAATACAAAAATGCCCTTAATTCGAAAATTACTAAAATAATTAAAAAAAACTATCTAAACGACCCCGAATCGCGAAAATCCATCGTTAGTCATAGCCAAAGGCTATGGGTATTGATCAGCACGTCGTTTCGCTTCAGCCAATCAAATTTGAGCTCAATCCAACATCGTTAACTTCAAGCCCGCCGGTTCGTCCAATCGCATAACGGGTCCGCCGGTCCCCTAAGTGCATCAGGGACCCCAGTCCGGGTCGGACCCTGAGGACTCCTCTATCGAGCGGGCAAAACCAAGAGGTTGATGCTTTTACTCTAAAGCAATAACTTACAGAATTTATTTAGGGGAGCAGATATATATACTCATGCTTCACCATCACCCTTCATCTAGTCTAAGTGGTCAATGTTAAGTTTCAGATATTTTTTTCACATACCATTGTAGGAAATGATAGTAATGTAACGTGACGATAACATAGGATGATCTTCCTTTAAAGCGATTGTCTAAGTCTGTTCCCCGCATTTCCATTGGTGTGACTCGTGAGCAACTGAAGAAACATGGGAGCAGTGACAATCGATTCTTTTCAAATCTCTTGTATGCATGCATGAACTTATAAGATATTTCTCAGAATAAAATAACTTCACCATAGTGCAATGGCCTAGTGAGCTTAATTCATTGCATTGAGATAAGATGCAATCAGCGTTGCTTCATAAGATGCATCCGTCGAGCTGTTGCTGCCCCTCCCCCTTAGTTGATTTTAGTTTGTTCCATTTTTTATTGTCTTGAGATTCCTTTTCAGTCGAATCGTGGTCCCCAGAAGTGCTTTTACACGGAGGAGTTCGACATCCGAGGGCTGAATGAGTATAAAATACCAAATGTTCTCAGGGGTATGAACACTTTCACATATGAAAAGACAAAACATATATCTCTCCCCTCTCTTCAAGGAATGCAGGAGAGGACAATAATTACTTCTCGAAAACATCCAGTGTCCAGGTGATCTCCCAGTTCTGAGATGCAGTATCATTGCCCTTGTTGTGATGCAAACATCAATTGTGGGACAAACCTTCCACCAAGAACTCCTAAAATCTTTTAAATCATTTTGTTAATATCCTTTTCTTTTTCCAGAAATTGTGGGACAAACCTTCCACCAAGAACTCCTAAAATCTTTTAAATCATTTTGTTAATATCCTTTTCTTTTTCCAGATATCTTCTCCTCAAATGACTTCCTCTGATAGAAAGTGGACGTACTTTCTCAAACTCTTTAGCTGTCTCGAAGTTTGAAAATGGTATTTTGATGGACAGGCTGGAGGATTGGATGGGCAATTGCCCCTGCTGCCATCGCATCGGCCATAAAGAACATACATGCCAGTACCTTTCCAGGAGGCTGCCTTGACCGCTCTTGAAAGTCAACCACAATATTTTGAATCACTGAGACAAGTAGTATACTCTGAGGCTGAAATCCGTTTAATGTGTGTATGAGGATTTGCACTAAGCAATAACTAACTCTTATTCCCATTGATGTTTAGGATTATGAAGTACGAAGAGATTTCCTAGCTAAAATTCTGGGTGAAATTGGTTTGCGCATTCGGTTTAAGGCTCGGGATTCATTCTTTATATTTGCGGAGATTCTTGAGCAGTGCCTTCGATGTACACTGCTTTTTGTCACTATATTTATTGCTAAAAAGCTGTCTGAAATCTGATTTATGTCATTGTCAAATGGTAAGAGTGCAATTGCAATTTCAGGCTGATTGTGTTAAAAAGCTAATAGAAGAGGCAAG